AGTTAGAAGTGATGTATAGTTTTCATACTTGGTTCAGGGCCCCAAATGGACTTTCATATTCTCTTCGAGAATTTTATTATTTCTTCATCAAGTGAGTAGCTGCATGATACATATTTTTATAAAATGTACCCTTACCTTGAACTATTGGAAAACTAAATTGTTGTTTCATAACCAAACTACCTTGGTTATATTATTATTATATTATTGAAATTAAGTTATTTCTGAAACATGTGTAAACTTGGCATACAGTAAATTATTTGTTACTGTCTCATGTTTGTAATAGTAAATTACCATGTTTTGCAAAACTAAATCATCTTGATTGTATTGCGACCATATATACAAGACCGAAGGAATTTATTTCACTTTGTGTGGTGACTCTAGATACTAGGGAACAAATCCGAATTAGGTTGCAATGACCCTAGTGCTCAACAATTATACGGAACAGATCTAGACTAGGTCAGGTGACGTTCAATTGGATCGGCCTAGAGAAAAGGTCCAAGTTACTATCCCATGAATGACTCTTAGTGCAACGTTGGATCTAATAGACTTGTCACCTTGAAAACTTTATGGCATGCATTTATTCATTTTACTTTGAGATTGTGATTTGAAGTTCAATCATGTACTTGTTCTGCTTCTTTTTTTGAAACACTAAAAGCTCGGGATTTCTGAATTGTGAAATCCATACTTTTTAATAGAATGATTTTGTCAAATTGTGTGCCAAGCTAGTTGTTATCGCATATCTTTTATTTTGAAATTGAACGTTGTTTTCGATTGACTTAGTTGTTTATCAACTAACTTAGTTGTTTAACATTTTCAGGTGAGACGAGCACTTGGGTTGGACTCATAGCTCGACAAGGACTCTATTACATGGACCTCTAAAACATTTATTTATTTATTTTTAGCCAGTTATGTCGATTTAGTGCATACATTTTGGTTAAAAATCATTTGGAATTATTTTGTTGCGCAAGTTGTTTGTGCCCCACGTGTTACATGGATTGTACTTGCTAGGGCAGGTTTTGCCCAGTTACACTTGTGATTTCTGATTAGATTATGTGATTTGTGATTAGATTATGTTTCGATTATTTATGTCGAGGGACTATTGCTTTTATTCTCTATGGTTGGTTTCATGTTTAGGCTTACTTCTGTCTTGGGTTAAAGCCCTGTTGACAACGGCTGATCATGCCTAAATTTAGAGTGTGACATCAACCATTTTAAAAACTGAGACCATCAATTTATAAGCAAAAATTTTTAATGTTCCATATTTAAGTTACGTGTAAACCTTTAAATGATCAAAGCTGCAACCATTGATTTAAATTCCTCAAATCCAAAACTAACCCAAGACTTGCAAGATAGCTGTATCTTAATCTTAAAACCAAAATATAAACTTAAAATCATAATATAAATGTGTTTCACCCAAAAAATAAAAATAAAAAATACAAACGTGCGCGCACACACTCCTCACAACTTGATTGAAGGAAAAACAAGGCTTAGCATAAGCCTAGAATACTGTATATAGTTTAACACAACCTACTAATAATAGAATTAAATACATCAACAATACAGACAACTGGCCCCAAAAAGATAATTACATGCACAATACATAATTTGCGTGTCCAGTCAAAGATTATAGCTGCACTTCAACTTCTATTTCCATTACCAGCAATACTCCATCCCTGCAACAATAACATCCATTAGTATCGAAAAACAGAAAGAACTAAAGGCATGTATGGTAGGAAGAAAGTGGGTAAACACCCACATTCATTGAAGGACCAATGGCTCTCACTATGTGGCCCATATAAAAATGGATTATGTGCATGAGCATAAAAGGAATTAGTTGTAGCCAAATGTGTAAATTCTTGTAATGATCATTATAAAATAAAATTTTCCCACAAAACAAAAAAGACAATGAAATATAAAGTTCATTCTGTGTCTTGCTTAGGGAATTCTCCTATTTTCTATGGTAATGACGAATGTTATTTTTGCCCGCCCTCCAATAAGTCTTTTTCGGCTTAAGAAACAAACCAACCAACCAGAAAAACTTAAAAACAAAAAGTTAGGCAGCAGCTCTCCTCAAGCCTCCATCCTTTCCATACCCATCAAGACTCCATTTCATGGGCACAGACGTGGCCATGACCATGATCTGAATCATTCATCTCATAGGCCTCAAAGAGAATTTGTGTAAAAAATTAGCTTGATCGGACATGGATACACACACAAACTTGTCGTGTTTTGTTTTATGAAATGAATAGTAAATATGCTTTTAAACAAAAAATTATCCATTTTTTAAACAAAATATAATAACTTACCTATTCGTGTTTGACCAAACTAATTTTTTCATATATTTTGAGACCTTCAGATCATCGTCGTAGGTCACGTGTGGACCCACGAAATGAAGTTTTGAATGGTACGGAAATGATGGAGTCATAAGGGGAGCTACAACAAAAAAAAATTAACAGGAAAGTTTCTATGCACACTTCAAAGTATGCAAAGACAAACTTCCCATAATAGAACATCTTTCCATAACAGAATATGCCCCAAGGTATCAATCCGTATATATATTTTGAGCATCAACAAAGAAGTTTATTAGATAAAGAAAATAACAAATAGAGGACAAAGAGTCCTCCTACAAGAAGAAAAGAAAAGCCCACTTAGGGTTAAGCAAAACAACCCACAAACAAATAAAGAACTAAGGATGGCAAACAACGTTCCAATCCCTAGAAATCAAAAAAAAAGCAGAACTCCTTTAAATGAGGGGGAAACATAAACCCAAAAAGATGCCAAATAACGTGCCTTTTCCCAAATGAGGGGCATCAATCCTTATTGGTCCAATCATCCATATGCTATACACAATAGTTTTTGCTGTGGCTGCAATAGATACATTAAGCTAACAAAACAGAGCATCTTCCCGTAACAGCATATTATGCCCAATGTATATAGGTCCAATCATCCAAATGCAGTAAGCAATAGTTCTTATTGTGCCTGCAGTAGATGCTAACAAAACAGTACATCTTCAATTGATCGTCAGAATCGGTTGGTGCAAGTCCTTAATAGTTTTAATAATTAGAATCATCATTATGATAACACTTTTCCAGGTTATAAGTTGCAATTCCTACATTATAAAAACTCCTGATCTCTGAAATCAAAGACTTAGTTTATTTACTGAGAAAAGGCAAACAAACACTGGTTTAATGTTATGACATACAGAAACTTGTATATCCACTATCATTAACCCACAATTCCTCGCCTGCTCAATAACCAAAAGCTCCAGTAACACTATGCTGCTTGTCAATATAGCCATTATCTATATTAGTAGTGTTTTTCGTCATGATACTGTAACTGAATGCACTATAGAATCCTTACTTGTGTTCCCACACAAGGAGATAGTTAAAAGCACATGACACAGTATCAGTTACGCTCCGTTTGTTGGGGCCACATTTTCTAATGTTTGGTAGAATAGAAACTGAAAGTCGAATGGAAATTATTTTTCACAGGCAATGAAAAACAAGCATGTTTCAGCAGAAAATATTTTCCACTTTTAAAAAGCGAAAAATATTTTCCAGACCAAAAGTCTTACCAATATCATCGTACTACCGCCGCTACTCTATCATCGTACTACCGCCGCTACTCTATCATCGCCATCATTATCACTGTCTTCCCCACCCCACCACCACGCCACCACTGTCTTGTCACCACTACCACCAGACATAGAAAATTGCTTTCTATGAAAACATTTTCTGGAAGAAAAAATTCATCGAAAATGTTTTCCGTCAGAAGATGCTTTCCGCCCAAAACAAATGGACCATTAAAGCAAGTAAATCATCAGCCACATTGAGCAAACTCTAAACCACCAAAGTATCGCAACTTTTCTATCAAGGGTAATATAAAATATATATTTAATTGCTTAAAGTGTGGTAGACACTCGACACTTACACGTCACAAAAAGTAGGACTGGTAATTGTTTTTTCAAATTTTATGATATGTACATATGGACAAAAGAGTTGAGCTTTGACACCAAAACTTATAGCCCGACACAACCCTAAAAATTGAGGTCATGTTTGGGAACTTGTGTTTGGATTATGGAGTGGATTTGCAATCCTTAGATTCTAAGATACACACACTTCTACGAAGGAAGTGTATCATGTGTGGCACTCATGTTCATTACAACAAAATTGAATTTTCACGGCTTGCAATGCATGTCGTAAAAATTCTTTCATGGCATGCACACAAATGTTGTTATATGACATGCCGTGAAAAGTTGAACATCATTACGACATGCAGGTAAAGTCGTAAAAAGTAATAAATTAAATATTAATGACATACTTTGTATGTCGTATACAAGTTTTTATGACATTTTTTACATGCCATAAATCATTATATTTTTCATGACATAATTTTGCATATCGTAAAAAGTTATTTTTAATATATTTATAGCATACTTTGTATGCCGTATATAATCTTTTACGACATTTTTTTGCATGCCATAAATCATTAGACTTTTTACGATATAATTTTGCATGCCATAAAAAGTTATTTTTAATATATTTATGACATATTTTGTATGCCGTATATAATATTTTATGACATTTTCTTGCATGTCATAAATCATTACACTTTTCACGGCATAATTTTGCATGTCGTAGAAAATTATTTTTAACATATATACGCACACACAAGAACATAACCTTGCCTAGTGGTATGCACCTCCAAACAAAGACAGTAGCTTATAAAGTGTAGCAACTTGTAAACAAATCAAGCAGAAGCAGCAACTATGAATTAAGGACAAAAACTAACATCCACACACCAAACAACGTGCATCTTAGCTTCCATCCTCAATTTCTATCATATCAAGCTAATAACAACCTCACACGTACAAACTAAGAAAAGTATTCAAATCATATGGTTCACTAATTTCCAAAATATGACTTTAAATATACAACACCTACTAATTTCTTGGGGGGGGAAAAAAACACAACCTGCATAAATAAACGAACAAAAACAAATCAAAGAATATATCATTGGTATTTTACATGGTTCAAAAACTTATAGATCACAAGACCAAGTAAAATAAAAAGTTGCATCCTTCAAAGAAAACATACATTGTTCTAGAAAATTTGAATGGGAAACAAAAAGAGTACAGAAGAAAAGAAAAGAAAAGAAGGTAGATGCATCAGATTGTTAAAAAGAAATTAATAATAATAACAAAATATAAAATATAAAAAAATAATAATAATTGGCTTTTGTTTTACAACCAATACTACATCCCAAGAATCAACCTTTGGCACACTGATTCTAAGAGCTAGAAGAAGGAAGACTCCCACTCCCAATCCAGCAATCCTATTCCAGAATAAAAGATATCACCAAAAAACAAAAAAAACTCCATAAACAAACAGAAAATCAATAATAGCTTCAACAACATATATATATACATACCTCAAAAGGCAATGGATTGAGTCAGGATCAAGGCAAAAAATAGTAGCAGATCCTGCAAATCGCACAGCACACTGTTATACGTCATACAAGCAATAGAGAGAGAGATCTATGGCAATTCGACAGCAAACAGAACATTAATCAGGAAAAAAAATACCCGAAAGAGATGGATTGTGTATTGTTATATAGAGAGAGAGAGAGACGAATCATTTTGAACCATCAAAAAGGCGATTCGAGTTAAAATGAATGGAAAAACAGAGAGGGAGAGATTTGAGAGAGAATGAGTAGAAGATTGAAGTGCGTAACTGATATTTCAAATGAATATTACATTAGATGTTGCTATAATATGATAGTGTATGGTGTATTGTACTCCATGATTTATATCAATATTACAGAATAGAAACTGAAGATCCAAAATAATACTAATAGCCGTTAGGTATTTATAAACAAAATAAAAATTGTCCACCATTTATTAAAACAAGTAAAGAAAAGAAAAAAAATAAAATAAAATGAAAGCAAAGACCTACCCATAAAAAGCAATCAGTGATTCACTGCAGATTTCAAGAAGATTGGGACTGATATTGTATGACCCAATTCTATGTTGACATTGACCCCAAGGTTGATAAGGAGCCAACCTCAACAAGTAAAACCAGATAAATAATATAAATATGGGCATAAATCACCAAGAAATGTAGAAAAAAATAATATATAAACGGAAACAAACAACAAAACAATCATCATTACTCATGAGAAAATCATTAAGGCCAGTTAGACAACAATGTCAGCTCCACTAATGCACTATCAGCAAATACCTGAATTAACCCAAACACATTTGAACATTTCCACACTTGGGTGGAGTTCAGTGCTTTTGCTTTTTGGCTTATTTAGTCAAAAACAACAAAAAACAACTTTTTAAGCCCAAGCCAAACGGAGACTCCTATTTTGTTGAGATCATGAAATGTGGCAGCATATTGGAAATCTTTAATTATTTGGGGTTCTCAAGCTCTTCAATAGAGTGATTTATGATTTTTTATATTCATTATGATCATTAAATAATTATTAAAATAATTAGTACAACCACATGAAGAAGCAACCAATAATTGCATTGAACATGTAAATTAACTAGTAGAAATTAACTACTGTAGATAGCATGGATAACAGAGGCTATCTCAACAGTATCCTAAACAACATATGCAAGCGGAACACAGAGATGGAGGTTAGTTTACACTATGAGAAAGCAATCTGATTTCAACGTGATGTATAAAGTGGTGGATATCCTTGGAAAGGCAAAGAGCTAATACCCATATCCATCCAACAAAAATCAACAAAAACAATCACCAGATTTATTAGCATTCATCAATAAATTTAGAACATGTGGTGGACATGCACATGCCATACTATCAGGTGTTTCATTTCCTTTTATCCCTTCTTTTTTGAAGGGCAATCTTGACTCCAAAAGGCAAGCATGGAGTTAATTAACTTAATGTAATAACAGAACATGCCAGAGAAACTTATGGAAGGATAATAAAATGCTCATAGATTAGTGCATTTCAGATAGGTAACTTTTGATGATAGTACCCTCTTTTTTGGTTTTACTTTTGATGATACTACCCTCTTTTTATTGATTTTATTGTTAAAATGAAGTATCTGCAATTGTTACTAATTAACACACTCTCTTTTGGATACCTTAATATTATGGTGCATTTCTTTCAGCAATTCAGAATCAGAAGCGTAAATTTTTTTTGCACCCCCATCCTATGTAGTAGAAAGTTTGTATACTAATTAACACACTCTCTTTTGGATTAGCCAACGTCCCGGCAATAGTAGCGTCTATTGCATCTTGGTTTTCCACTCCGGAGGCTCTAGCAGCCATCAAAACTACAGCCTCTCCATCTATTCCTCTAGCAAAGACCTATGAGAATGCATCCAGACAAAAGGTTGGAACATGAACTACATTACAGAATTTAGAAATTCAATTTGAAGCAAACAGTCCCCCAAACAACCTCAATAATACTTTTGTCAACAGTCAGCCAGTGGATTTTGAATATACATATTATGAATATCTGGGAGCCATATGTCGATGTGAAAAGGAATGAATTAGGTGTACTTGAGGAACAAATTAGACATGTTTCTCTTATCATCTCCTGAATACCTTAATTCTTTTATTTCATATTTTTCATGACTATGATCTTGAACAAAACAAAGTTATATTTGAATGTCCATACCTTTTGAAAATGGCCCACTTGATTTGTGCTGTCCACAAGGTGAGCAGCCTTGCCAAAGAAGGTGTGGACACCGGTGGCAATGACCACTGCTTCAATCTCTCCCTGTTTGCAAGTGGATCCTGAATAAACCCCATCCCTAGGGCTTTTTATCACAGGAAAGGCCTCATCTGCCAGTGCAGACTGCAAAACCCAAATAGAAGTATTCCAGTTAGATAGCTTGACTATTAGACGATGAAATCAACCTACTTCAATCAATAGAATAATGATAGTCACAAGCACCTGGTCTATTTTCAATGGGTCACCCTCAAGGAGACGAGCATCTGCAGGGATTATGTCACCAAGTTTAATACTAACTACGTCACCTGGAACAAGAACAACTGCATATTCCCCACTCCATTTTCCATCACAAAGAACCTATGATTTTTTGTTTTAGATTAATCAATTAAGGATAGGAGATACAAATTGTAAGTCATAATCCAGCCTTAAAAAAACTGGAAAAGCAAGTTACATATATGTGTGAAGGTAGAATTTTTTTGAATTTGTCTAAAGACCAAATTCCATTACCTTTGCTTTTGGAGCAAGGCAGCCCATGAGAGCCGCAGCAGCATTACGAGCATTGTTCTCCTCAATAAAACTTATAGTAGAATTGATAAAAAGCAGAGTAATGATCCCAACAAAATCCTGCCAATCAGGTGGATTTCTCTGCAGAAAACAGGGTAATATGAAGTTCCTATAAGCAGTATCATCCATAGAAAATTGAAACTACTGGGAATAAAAAAAAACACAGCTATGATGCGGGTTCATGAGCATTTGCACAACATAAGAAAGTAAACTATAAATACCATGTGGACACACTTGTCAGACACAGCATCGGCACCTATCTTGGAGTGTCAGTGCTTCTTCGCTCATTCGATTAGTGTGTGGTGTTTCATTGTGTGTAATCCAAGGATAGAGAATCTTCATGAAGCTTTTTATGATATTTCTTTCATGATGCCTAGCATTACTCATGATCCAAGCATAACTTGACTTGCCCAAAGGAAGTTTAAAAGTTTTCAAAGACAAAAATGTACATGTGTTTGGTATTGTTTTCGTTTTGTATGTTTCTGTTTGTCATTTAGTTTTCTAGTCTTTCCGGAAACAAAAAAAATAAAAAATTGAAAAGTTCAAAAAACCCACCATTTTCATTTTTATGCAAAAACAATTTTTATAAATTCAGAAAAGTGTTTTCAGAAATTTCTCCAAAAAAAAATTGCCGACCAATTTCCTTCTTTTTTTCCTAGAAAACAATACAAAACCTGTCTAAACTTTTCTTGCTTCTTTTGGAAATCTTCCTTTCCTTTTAGTCAATCTACTATCTATCTTTCTAATATATATTTAAATATATATACTTTCATGAACTGATAATAATCATATGTGTAATTATTACATTATTAGTTGATTCTAATTTCCCAAAGCTACTATTAAAATGAAAATTACACAAAATGATAGTCACTTACATGTTTGGATTTAATTTTCTAAGTTCAAGTTTTTAAGACAATTGATGATCTAACAAGGCCTTAGAGTTTTGATTCCATTCTCGATAATTGGGCTTGTTTACTAAGAAGTTTTTTTGGACAATTGGTGACCTAACAGGTACTAACTTGAGTGACACACTTATATCTCTCACAAGCACCATAATCTGCCGAGTTGCTTTTGGGAAGAGGTATGAGGATGAAGGTCATGCAAGAAGTAGATTTCACAGCCTACTTAATGAAGCTCAAGCCTTGGCGGCGATCTTTGTATCAGATTATTTTCCTTTGATGGGGTGGATTGATAAACTCTCTGGACTATATGGCCGGCTTGAGAAAAATTTCAAGGAATTGGATATGTTCTACCAAGAAATCATTGACGATCATCTTGATCCAAAAAGACAAACAACTGCGCAAGAAGACATCACAGACGTCTTGCTTAAATTGCAAAGCGATCGTTCGTTTGCGATTGATCTTACTTTGGACAACATTAAAGCTGTGCTTATGGTAATCTGTCCCACATACTGTGAGATGTACTGTATAATTGATTTATGTGTACTTATAATTTTTTCAACCTAGTAATTTTCTTTTTGTTTATTTTGTTATAGAATATATTTATTGCTGGAACAGACACAAGTGCGGCAACATTAGTTTGGGCAATGACAGCGCTAATGAAGAACCCAAAAGTGATGAAAAGAGTGCAAGACGAAATCAGAAATTTAATCGGAGAGAAGGGCTTTGTGAGTGAAGATGATCTTCAAAAGCTTCCATACCTCAAGGCTATAGTAAAAGAAACATTGAGATTGTACCCTGCAGCTCCATTGCTCGTGCCAAGGGAAACAACTCAAACAATTAAACTAGAAGGATATGAAATTCCACCCAAAACGTTAGTCTATGTGAATGCGTGGGCCATTGGAAGAGACCCTGAAGCTTGGGACAACCCAGAAGAGTTCTTGCCTGAGAGATTCTTGGGAAGTGCTATTGACTTCAAAGGTCAACATTTTGAGCTTGTTCCATTTGGTGCCGGTCGAAGAGGTTGCCCAGGGATCTACATGGGTGCTGTGACAGTGGAACTTACACTTGCTAATCTTCTCTATTCATTTGATTGGGAACTGCCTAATGGGATGAAGAAGGAAGATTTAGACACTGAGGTGATGCCTGGTATAACAATGCACAAGAAAAATGCCCTTTACCTTGTGGCTAGAAACTATAATTAATGGATATGAGAATCTGATCTTTTGTTCTAAAATATATGCATGTCTTAAGATACTTCCAGCTATACAATTGTGACTCGAAAATCTTATATTTCAAAGTTTTCATCATATCTCGTGTGCTTCTAACAGTGCATCAGGGATGGAAAGAATGATATTTTGAGAATAGTTTTTTATGGCAACAGGTCTAGTATAATGTACAACAAGACCAACGCTCTGGTAATCCATTTATAACAAATGCTTCAGTTACTCTAACAGTAGTAGCTAGTCTAAAATTCGTAGTGAAATCAGAAAACAAAAAACATGTTCTGACCAAGATTTATAGTGTTAAATCCGTCTGAAATATGAGAAATCAATTAGATAATTTCCAAACAACAGCTAATAATTTCAAATTAAAGCTTCAACTCTCTCAAATTTTAAATCAAATTAGCATAAAGAAGACGAAATTCATTACGAGAGAAACGATCAAAACATAGAAAAGCAAGCATCTAGGGTTTCAATTATCAAATTTCCAACCAATTGGAAACGATGGGGATACAAGTTACCTTGAGACGAGTCCAAAACCTCTCCAGCCTCTCTCTCCAATTGTTCCTGCGGGAGATGGCTTGATAGAGCCACATCACCCGCAAGAAAATGAATGACTCAAATTTGTTTCTTTAAACAAAAAAATTCAAGGGCAATGGTAGAGGGCCACAATTTTTGTGGCTCAAATGGCTCAAAATTGCCAAAACGACGTCGTTTTGAGCACAAAACATGCCAAAACGACGTCGTTTTGGCAATTTTGA